CGACCAGAGCCGACCGGACCTCTTGTACACCCCATCTTTCTCCTTCCCGTTTGTAACCCCACTGCAAACTTCGAGCACCTGGGCTCAGGAATAAAGTCACCGACCAACTCAAACTGGACGTAGGGCACGTTGCCTGAACTAGTATAAACCCTGTGTCATTGAGTGCTAGGCCACCTCCGATCACAACGTACGGCAAAACTACAAATATTTACTAGTTGGTCACTTTCTGCACCAACAACATTTTTCCATCCAAGGCCATTTGAAAAATTCAAAAGTTTAAAATGAAAAATTTGAGACTTAATTTATATATTTGGAACCCTAAACAATCTCAAATAAAAAAATTTATCAACTACAAAGTTTTAAATCTCATCAAACTCTACAATTTTGATATAAATTTTGTCTTTATCCGACTTCATTTTAAAAAGATATGAATTTATTTGTGCTGCAGTTATTTTTAAGGATGTTTGACTCAGTCAACCACCCTTGAAAATCTCACTTATTTTCAGAAACGGTTGACATAAGCAACCGTCCTTGGAAAATAGTATTTCTAGAGGCGGTTTTCTTAACGGAACCGCCCCTAAAAATGGACACATTTTTAGATGCAGATTTCTTAATGGAACCGCCCCTGAAAATGGATCTTCAGTGACGGTTATGGAGCTACAGTGCTCCACAGCGACGTTAGAGACGGCGTGCTAGTTTAACCGCCTCTGATAGAAAAGGGATGCGTTCCTAAAAATCTTTCCTGTAATAGTGACATTTGGATTTTCAGAATTTTATAAAGGATTCGTGGCATGCCTGAGCCTAGTGTAAAACCAAGTTTTATGGGAAATTTCGGGTCATTGTTGGAAATAATATTCACCTATTTGCATATATTGGCATTTTTCTGCTCATGTACAAGCCACCCCTCCCTGGCGGATATTGGCTTTGGGTACCGACACGGCCACGCTGATGACACCCCTGGCCTTCGCGTGCATCCCTAATAATGACCTAAGGGTTTGTTTAGATATCCATATATCTATGTCAATCTATATGTGTTGGAGTGAATTCCACACCAAACCACTTCAACCCACGTGGATTGATTATGTCAATTCATGAATATCCAAACAAGCCCTAATCAGGATTAGTTGCCTGAATATCGCCAACCCACCGTCGAGATCGAAGTCCGGGGGGCCATTCGATCACTTGCTCTGGTGGTCTCCCCCACCTCCTGGCATAGCCTACATCTAATGCCACATGTCCCCATTGATGTTTTTTTTTGCCTTGTACTTCTCTACATCTTGCTCACACAAAGCACCAGAAGTCTACAACCCTCGCCCTAGCAACCACACAGGCCACCATTAGCGCCAATGCACTGCCCTCGTCTCACACGTTAGACAGGCCCACAAGTCGGAGAAAAGTGCTAACTGACGTATAGAAGAATCTTTCATGCTTCAATATTGCATTAGGTATATCATATAAATTTAAAATACTTTTTATAGATGGATGTAAAAAGGACCAACCTAGGGAAATAAACTAGCCATTTTTGGTCAAAAAGAAAGTAGGCACCAAATTCAAAATGAGAATGACTCGAATATGGGTGCTTGGGTGAAGACCACACCTTCCACCCACCTAATTTGATCGAACAGTTAGCTAGGTGCGGATGGTGGGATCAACCCACATTCAGATCGGCCCACCAGTCAGAGAATTGTGCCAACAAAATGTACGGACCAACCTATGAGGAACTATGCGCTTTTTCGTCAAGAAAGAAAGTAGGCACCAAATTCGAGATGAGAATAACTTGAACTTGAGTGGTTCGTGACTACACCTTCGATCCAACCGATTGAGCTAGGAATATAGCATTGAACAAACTTTTGGGGTACAACATTTCTTTAAGCAAATTTCGCTGCTAGACACTGAACTAGTGTGATATTAGCCATTTGACACATGCCAAACACGAAATTTACCATGTATCATTATAAATTGGCTCGCACTTATTTGCTCTCTCATATTACAACTTTATTTTATTCATTCTTCATTTTGGGAGAGAGATCTATACTGCATTGATATTTTTGCCTCGAGCTCACACAAGGTGAATACACTAAAGGTTCATGGTATGTTTATGGTCACAAAAGGTTTTTGGAAGAAGTTTGGGAGGATTATTTTGGTGATATTCAATCCTTTGATATTTTTTGGGGCTAGCACATTTGTGGGCGCCTCAACAATGGGGACGTAGACACATTTTTTTGTGGTGTGGCCAAACCTCAGCTTAAATCTTGTGTCTACATGTGCTTGTGTTCTTCAGCTCTTTTTATTATAGATTACTCTTGTTTTGGCCTGATCTACTTTTTGTGTAGGGTTTGGTGCAAAGCTTGGTGTGGAATCTAGTCACCATACTCCCCTACATGTATTGTAAAATCAGATCTAAAGTGCAATGGTTAAATTCATAAATCCAAGGTTTTTTTTCACCTCTCTCAATGACCGGAAATTACAGTGAGGACTGAAATTTCTGGTATCTAGGTTTAATCTGTTGCAAAGTTTTTAAACCTGATGTGGTATAGATCTCACGAAAGGCAGCAGGGGCTTGGAATCCATATGTGCCCATGTTGCCCTGCTGCCATCATCGGAGACGAGGAGCTGTCCGGAGTTAGGGTTCGGGTGGTTAGGGGATCTACTCACCACCAGCGATTGTAGAAGGGGGTTTGGGGTGGCGGTGCGCCACCCATCATGGCAGTGGGAGACAACGGTTTGGGGAGGGCAGGGTTTAGGGAACATCAGTGGGAGGTGCATGGAGTGGCGAGGCAGCTGGAGCCACGGTTGCTACACTACCGGAATTCTCAAATTTGCCAAGTGTTTTTTTGTTTGCCGAGTGTATTTCTTCGGGCACTCGGCAAACCAGCTCTTTGGCGAGTGCTGAGATAAAAACACTCGGCAAAAAAAACACTCGGTAAACAAGGGGTTTGCCGAGTGTAAAAAAACACTCGGCAAACAAGGGGTTTGCCAAGTGTTTTTTTTGCACTCGCAAAGAAAGAAATTTTTTTTTCTGGAAAAGAAGGGCAAGGAAAAAAAGGAGGAAATTTTTTTGTCGAGTGTCCAGATCCAGGACACTCGGCAAAGCCCCATGCACCCACGCCCTAAAATCATGCACCCGCAGCCGCGCTCTCCTTATTGCCCCCGCTCACACACGCGCCCTCTCCCTGCCCCCGCTCCCTATCACTGCCTCCCGCCGCCAGCCGGCCCCTCCTCTCCTCCCGCCGCCGGCCGGCCCCTCCCTCCCCTCCTCTCCTCCCGCCGGCCGCCGGCCCCGGCCCCTCCCCTCCTTGCCCCGCGCTGCCCCGGATCCACCCCGGATCTACCGCGCCGCCCCGGATCCGTCGCGTTGCCCCGGATCTGCCGCCTCCCTCCTCTCCAGGGGCGGCTAGCCCCTGCCTCCCCTCCTTCCTCCAGCTGGCGGCTGGCCCCGGCCCCTTCCCTCCTTGCCCCGTGCCGCCCCGGATCCACCGCGCCACCCCTGATCCGCCGCCTCCCTCCTCTTGCCGACACCGCCCTGGATCCGCCACCTCCCTCCTATCCAGGGGCGGCCAGCCCCTCCCTCCCTTCTTCTCCTCCCGCCGGCGCCCGGCCCCTCCCCTCCTTGCCCCACGTCGCCCCAGATTCGCCGCCTTCCTCCTCTCCAGGGGCGGCTGCGTGAGGTGCGCGAAGCGGAGGAGCATGATGGCTAGGAAGGGGTCGGGCGGCGAGAGGGAGGAGAAGACAGCGCGCACGTGGGCTGGAGCGGGAGCGTGGTGAGGCGGCGGAGCAGGTGGGAGACGAGGAGCGCGACGAGGCGGCAGATCTGGTCGTGGTGTTGGCGACGGCCGGTGGTGGCGGGAATTTGTTTTTTTTATTTTTTACGGAAAATGTTTGCCGAGTGTTTTCTGGGCACTCGGCAAAGTCTTTGCCAAGTGTATGACGAAAAACACTCAGCAAAGTTAGTTTGCCGTTAACAGTTTTGTCGTGTGCCCTTTGCCGGATTTGCCGAGTGTTTTAGTGGCTTTGCCGTGTGCCCTGGGCACACGACAAAGCTCCCATTCCCGATAGTGCTAGTAGTGGAAGCGCAAGGGAGGGGGTGGCGGCGGCGGTGGGTTACGCGAGGAAGAGGAGTGAATGAGCGAGTTCTATGAGGGTGTGTATGACACGGGTGAGAGGGAAGAAGGGTCGCGCGATTCGTCCTCCAAAAGGATATAGGGGAATAAAATCTATAGATCCAGATGTTATGGATGATACAAAGAGAATGCTTTAGGGGACGGGGGGAAAGGAGATGGGAATAGAATACGTGGATCCACATCCACGTGCTATGGATTATATTTGGAGAACGTTTTAGTTTTAGTAGTACCTTGGAGTATATATGACAAAAAGCCACTATCAAAACTATTGGCAAGTCGATGAAGTTGCTTTCAAGGGATCTCTTATGAACGATCTTTAGATTATGGCCTCTCTTAGAGTGAGATTTGCGGTCACTCGTAAGCGTAGGGAATAAAGCAATGACATGGATGTGTATGGGAGTTCTACACTATCTCTTATATTCCTAAATCCCATTAGCAATGTATCTCACAGTGTACTGTCACGTGTAATTAAAACCCACTAGCACATGTAATTTTGGATGTCCACATCAGCAATACATACAAGTATTTTTTTTATCCACGCAATCCACTAGAATTAATTTATAATAGTTTATTCCTTCATATAAGTAACATATATATATATATATATATATATATATATATATATATATATATATATATATATATATGAAACTCTAAATCATCTGCAATTTCATGGAACGCGTGGGGTATGCTTCTAGTTTTTCCAAAACGACACAAAAGAATGAGTGAATGAAGGTAAACTGAATAACACACGAATTAAGTCTTGAATGCGATAAATCTGATGAAAGATAGCATGGGTTTGCCCTACTCGGCCGTCTCCAGCTCGGCCAAGTTGGTCTCGAACGCTTTCACGAGGTTCTCGAAGTAGTGCCGCGTCACCTGGGTGAGGCTCTGAAGCTCTTTTTGTAGCTCTTGTACCTCTCGGCGACGTCGGCCGCGTCGCCGGCGCAGAGCTCCATCCTCTCCACCTCGGCGCAGCCGTGCAGGCGCTCCAGCGACATGTTGGCGTCTTTCTGAAGTTGGTCGAACAGGTTGCGCTTGATGGCGTCACGCTTGGGGTCCAGGAAGTAGCCGTACGCGTGCGCCCACCGCAGGACTCGCCGGCAGTCGGCGACCTGCTCGTACGCCTTGTTCAGGAACCCAGATCGCTGGGCGGGACGTGCATCTTGACCGCCATTATTTTCACCAGCCCCGAGCGCTCCAGGTCGGCCATGTCCTTGAAAACCTTCTGCAGCGACGTGTGGTTGGCCGCCCAGCGCTCGTAGTGGTACAGGTACCTGTCCAACGACGCCTTGGCTTGCTCCCGCCGTCGCTCGTCCTTGCCGCCGCCGGCGTTGACCTTGTCCGGCCGTGCCCGGTTGCCATCGCAGACGATGTGACTGCGTCCATATGATTGCAGGCAGATCCAGCAGAAACGGTGGTTGCAGGGGGGCCTGCACGTCATGTTGTTGCACCCCTGGTTCTTCTCGATCGGCCGCCGGTACTTGGGGCAGTGCTTGGTGTGGGTCAGCACCCAGTTGGCCGTCTCCGAGTATGAGACGTTCTTGGCCAGCCACGCGCGCACCGTGACGCACGACAGCGGCCGGTGCGCCTCCTCGCCGCAGCTCCAGCAGAAGCCGTGCGCGCACTCGCAGAACACGTCCGTCGCGTCGCCGGTGCAGCCGACGAACTCCACGGCGCGGGAGCACCCGGGGCCGGGGCACCACATGACCCTGCCGCCGTTCTCGTCGACGAACGACCAGAGCTGGCCTTTGTCCTCCCGCCGCGCGAGGATATCATCCGTAATTCTTCCCGTCCAAACGCTCGGACGGGAACCATCGGCCGATGATTTTCGGACGGAGCCCCTGCGGCCCACATGAACGCGCGATTGTTTTGATTCCCAGCGTAGGTCGGTAAGTACGTATGTTTTCTTTATTATTTATTTTTCTTTTCTTTTTATTTTATTTATTTTTTTTTTTTTTTTTTTTTTTTTTATGTTTTTCATTTTCCTTTCATATGTTTTTTTTCTCTTTTATTTATCTTCTTTTTTATTTCTTGTTTATTTTCTAATCATGTTTTTATTTTCTTATATTTTTTCATTTTTTCCTTTCATTTTCATTTTTCTTTTTTTCTTCTTTTCTTTTCTTTTTCTTTCTTTTTTATTGTTCTTTTCTTTCTTTTTTCTTATTCTTTTTCTTTTCATCCATAATTTATTTTTCTTTTTGTTTTATGTGAATTATTATTATTCTTTTCATTTTTTTATTTTTATTTTTCTTTTATTTGTGTTTTTGCTTTCACTATAATTAATTACTTTGTTTATTTTACTTTTTTCTATGTTTTATTTCTTTTTCCTTTTTCTCTTTTGTCTTTATGTTTTCTATAGCCTTTTTATTTTACCTTTTTCTATTTTATCATTATTAATTATTTTTTCATGTTTACTTTTTTTTATTTCATTAGATGTTCTATCATTTATTTTGTAACGTTCACGTAATATATAATGATCCTCTATAATATATTTTGTGATGTTCACGTATTATACATGTGTTGTTCTATCTTTGTATTTATCTCTTTGCTTTACGTAGTATACATGTGATGTTCTATTATATTTTCGTGATGTATTTTTATGATGTTCACGTAATATACATATGATGTTCACATGGTATACACACGATGTTATATGATATTTTTTGTGATGTTCATGTATTATATATGTAATGTTTTGGGATGTATTTTATGATGTTCACGTAGTATACATGTGATGTTTTATGATATATTTTATGATGTTTACGTAATATACATGCTATGTTTATGTAGTATACATGTGATGTTCTATGATGTATTTAGTGATGTTCACGTAATATATATGTGATATTCTATAATATATCACAGATCCAAGCCTTCTTCTTCCCGGTGCCGCCCTCCCTCTCGAGATCCGGCCTCCCTCTCCGGATCCGGTCGGTGGAGGCCGGTGGCGCCGGATCTGGGCTCTGGTGGTGGCGGGCGGTGGGGCTGCCGTGTGGTGTGTGACGGCTTCACCCTCCCCGGCCTTCTTCCCGGCGCCACACCTCCCGACCTTTCGTCCCGGTGCCGCCTCCCTCTCGAGATCCAGCCCTCCCTCTCCGGATCCGGTTAGTGGAGGCCGGTGGCAGCCGGATCTAGGCTCTGGTGGTGGCGGGCGGCAGGCGGCATGCGGCATGGCGGCGGGCTTCGCCCCTCCCCGGCCTTCTTCTTCCCCGGCGCCTCCTCTACCCGGCCTTCTTCTTCCCGGCGCCGCCCTCCCGGCCTTCTTCCGACGCCGCCCCTCCCTCCCGGATCCGGTGGGGAGGCCGGTGGTGGCGGATCTAGGCTCTGTAGTGGCGGGTGGCGGGGCGGCGGTGGCGTGGCGGTGGGCTTCACAGTCTTGGCATGGTGGTGGTGGTGGTTCATGGGTGTGCTTGTGGCGGCGTGTTGGCGGATCTCAAGGCTGGAGGAGGAGGCGCGCCGGTGGCGGCCGTGGTGGGCAGCGACCGGTGGTGGCAATTGTTTTTTATTTTTGTGGAAAATGTTTGCGAGTGTTTTTGGGCACTCGGCAGCGTCTTTGCACCGAGTGCCCGACAAAAACACACGGCAAATTAGCGTTTGCCGTTAAAGGGTTGCCGAGTGTAACACTCGGCAAACCCTTGCTAGGTGTTTTGGGGCTTCGCCGAGTGCCCCTGCACACTCGCCAAGCTCTCATATCCGTAGTGCTCGACGCAGCCGCCGCCCTCACCGTGTTCGCCTGTCTACATGCCGCGCCGCCAGGGCGAATGGTTAGAGTTGCGGGTGCTATGTGGACTCTCCTAAAATATTGTTGACCAGAGGATTTTGCTTGTAAACAAACTCTCGTGGATATCGTTATAATTTGGTGAAAACCGATCAACTTTGTAACTAAATTATTGCATTCCCCGCTTTGACATCCGAAAAATCTTCGAGCCCTGGACCAACAACATCTATACCTAGGATTGGTAAACTCAAAGCGAATTATGGATAACGACATGTGAGTAAAAATCTATTGTTTGATTACTAGTATAGTGGTGATCCAAATATATATTAAAATATTTGGTTATTTTTTTGGAAATTTATATCTATAATCTGTTTATAAAGTCTAATTGACCTCCCTGATTAATCGTAAGAGTCCGATTTACCTTTGTAGTGGTTGCCGTGGCGTCACGTAGGATGGTTGACGTGGATCACATTAGCCAAAACCGCTAAGACGGTTTCAATAATTCGAGTAACAAACATCTGGTTTTCTAGTTGAATCAAACTACCCTGAGCATCTCCAAGGGTTTTTTTTCTACATTCTCATTTTCAATTTCTGGCTAGCGAGAAATTCGGATTCCGGAATAGAAGATGCTATATTTTGATACAAAAATAAAGAAGCTGTTGGATGGTATTTTTTTCACCAAAATCTCTATTCCTAGTGTCGGGTTCATAAATCCGGGGTTCCTCGGGGACCGGCTTCCACGCCAAGGCTCGGCCCAAGCAGACAGCACACAACTCGTGGGCCGGCCCAAGAATCTAAAACAACAGGCCGAAAGGGCGGTCCAGTCACCGACCGGAAGGTCTGGCCAAAGAGGAACAACGCCCGCTCGTCGACTACTTTGGCCCACCTCTCTGACCGGAGCTTTCGCTTTGGACTCCAGCCGCCTCCGGACGGCCTCTCCGATCGAAAGGCCTGGCCCAAGCACTACTTCCGACTCCGACCACGCGTCTCCGACCGGGGTTCGTAGAAACCCTGCTCACCGCTCTTCTCCGACTGGCACAACCAGAGCCGACTAGGGCCATCCGACCGGGGACACCCGATCGGAAAGGATCTGGGGACAAACGGAGAAACCAAGCCAGGGCGCACAAGTCAAACCACGATACCAGGGACCATACCCTGTATGCCTGTAGGAACAGTGTTCTGCAACTGCCCTAACACAAACAGTATTGTAGGCGTCGACATTTCCCTCTACAGTATTGTGGGCACCACTAACTCCCATACGGTAAGGCCCCCCACATGCCTCTGGGCATCAATAGTGTTGTGGGCGCCGGGATTTACCGTAACAGGTGAACGTGGTGAAACTCCTCACATGCCTCTAGGCATCAACAAAGATTTGTAGGTATCGACGCCCCGCCATTCCCAGAAGAAGGCAACGCAACCTCCCACATGCATTTGACATTCTACGGTGACATCAATAAAGTGTTGTGGGCGCCTACCATTATCTTGTACCCGCCGGCATGGGCAACAAAGCTCAGTAGCATACGTACCCTCATCCTCTCACTTGTAAAGCCATGTCCTTTATCTATAAAAGACTTGGGCAACAAAGCCAACGTACAGAGAGCCCTCTTAGTCAAAAAGCATCGATCAAGTTCACTAGCTCACAACCACAGAACCGCTGGGTTTGGACCTCAAGCACACGCTTGAATACTTAGCTCATAGCGTTGCTCCTGTCGCTCTCGGCCCTTCCGACCATTGCCGACCAGACCTCTTGTACACCCTATCTTTCTCCTTCTCGTTTGTAACCCTAGTGCAAACTTCGAGCACCTAGGCTCAGGAATAAAGTCACTGACCGACTCGAACTAGACGTAGGGCACGTTGCCTGAACCAGTATAAAACCTGTGTCATTGAGTGCTAGGCCACCTCCGATCACAACGTACGACAAAACTATAAATATTTACTAGTTGGTTACTTTCTGTACCGACAGTTGGCGCCGTCCGTGGGGAAGACGCTGTACGTTCAACACTTTTTGGTCATCGGATGGCCCACTTTTCCGCCACCCTCACTGTGGCGGGCTCAGACGATACGATTCACTTCGGCTTGCTAGAGTTTCTCGCGCTCTCACCTGTAGGGACGTGGGCTCTGTAACACCCCGGTGTTATGCCTGCATTTAGGCACTGCATATCATGCATCATAAAGCATCCTAATCATACATGCATAATCTTGCATATAATAACTGAAACATTACTTCGAAACATACGAAACATGTTTGTGAAACGTAAATGATGCATACACTTATTAGAGTTGTTTTGCTCTGATTCTTGCTTGCTAGGTTAGTAGAACATGTTTGGCTGCTATTGTAAATCATCTAGCAATGTTTAGTTCGATTTTTGGAGCAATGTTGGTATTCAAATTAATTCAAAATTTGGCTTCAAAAATAAATTCCAAAAATTAGGGTTTTGAGCTAAACGTAGACTTTGATCTTATAATTCAAAATCTAGAAAGAATTTGGCTTTGGTCCAAAAAGCAAAGTTGTAGAGAATTAAATTCTAAGCAACTTTCATTTTTGGTACATTTTCAAAAGAGGTCATCTTCTTACTCAAAATAAGATTTGAAAGCTGGCTTTTAAAAGTTCTTGAAAATATAAATGAAAAAGAGTTTTTTTTTGTTGCAGGCCGCCGCCTGCTTCGGCCCAGCCCCATAAGCCGGCCCAATAAAGCCCCTTGCGCGCCTCGCCTCGGCCCAGCCCAGCGCGCCTTGGCCTGCCTGCCTCCACACAGCAGACCTTCTTCTCTCCCGCACAGGCCGTCACCATCGTCGCCGATCACAGCGCGTCGCGCGCGCCGCCCACAGTGTCCGCCACGCGCCCGGCTAGCTCTGACCTCGCAGCGCGCTGGCGGGCTTGAAGAGGAGCGCGCCCTGCTGCCAGTCGCACGCGCTCTGCCGTCACTCCTCCCGCACTGTTTTTCCTTCCGCCAGAGCCGCGAGCCCCGAGCTCCGCCCTCGCCGCGCTCGAGCTCCGCCGACGTCGAGCTCCCGCACCACCGCGCCATTCTCCGATTGCTCGCGCCCGCAACTCCGCCTCGCCTTCCTTGAGGTCGCGCTCGAGCTTACTCCGCCTTCCGAGCCTGTGGTGAGCCTCCCGCGCTGCCGCCACAAGCGGCCATGGCGCGCCTGGTTTCGGCCCGCTGTGGGACTCCCCTTCCTCCCTTCTCCACCACCGCTTAGTCTGCTGATCAAGATTCGCCAATGCCTCGCGAACCTCGTCGCTTCGCTAGCTCGCTCTGCCGTGGCCGGAGATGGCCACGGCCTCGTGGTCGAAGCTTGTGCGTCGCGCCCGTAGCCACACAAGACTGGCGTGTCCTCTCTGCTCCGACCGAACAAATGGCCGGGCCAAAGCGCCGTGGGTCAAGCCTCTGTTGCCAAAGCCATGGCGCTCCTCCTGGCGCTTGGCAGCAGTTGCAGGTTATTCTTGGCCGTGGGCCACTGATTTCAATGGTGATGGCCCAAGAGCGTTTGAATAAATGATTTCAATTTATTCTTTATTTGAAATGGTTTGAAAAATGTTTGGGTACTCAAATTTGCTCTAAATTTGTTGAAACAAATTTTGCTAGGTTCCTTATCATCAGATCTACTTGGGAAAAATTGTGCATGTCATTTTTGAGATACTTTTCTATAGGATTTTATTTAATCTTGAATATTGCTGATAACTTGAAAAATGTGTATAAAAATATATAGGCTTCAGAAAAATATGATTTCAAGTTTGTTCATCTTCTTATGTCATGTACTTCCTAGGAAAAATATGTTTCATGCATGTGCTGTGGGAAAAATTTGAGGTGTAGTTCAAGTACCTTTAATGGCTGATTTTTGTTATTTTTGCTAGAGCACAAATTTTGTATAAAACATGCATGTGACAATTTTGTACAGTCATTATATACCATGAAGAACCTAGGAAAATATTAATTCTGTTGTTTGACACTTTTCATAGTACAAAGTAATTTCATGCTCATTTTAGGCTATAGCTTGTCATTTTTGTGTAGGATAGTTTACTTATCCAAATGCCATGAAATTTTTATGGTAGTCTGTTTAGGGTAGTATTATGCTACTGTAATTTTCTCAGATTTTTAGGAGCATCAGAAATATAGGTTGCTATTCAAACCTATTATTAATTAGGGTTTAAGCAAGTGTTGCCTTAAGTGTGATTAAGAAATTAGTAAAGCTTTGGTGTATCTTTGAAGCATTTAATAAAATATGTTGACTTAACATATTGGTAGTAGAAGAGAATGCGATAGATGACATGTGCTTATAGCATAGTTTCTTGGATGATGTTGACTACCTTGCCTTTCAACATATCCATTGCATTCATCTCCTTCGATGCACCGATTGCATAGGCACTTACACGCATTGCATCATCTGGGATCGCAAACCGAGAACCCGATCGTCATTCCCGAGGAGCCCGAGGAGCGATTCGAGGTGTG